AACAAAGTGTAAATGGAGTTAGGGCAATCTTATTATTTTAGAACCAATATCGAACTGCCCAAGCAAAGCTTTTTGTAATTAAGGTCAGATGGCTTCCTTTTGGCCATTTGGGGTTGTGTTTTGCTAGCTCTGCAAATACTGAAGCCAAAGTATAAGTCTTTTCTTGTTGGAGGAGGACGTGCTGCTTCATGCTCACTGGTGTGTCCTAATGATAGAAGCCTTTGATAAAATGTAGCTCACAGTTTAGGGTGCTTATAATTTAAATACTTACAAATTTAACTCTAAGGGGCTAAAAAGGCATTCATAAATTTTAACCAGTGTCCCCTGGCCCCAAAATAAAAATAAAATTTATTGCCTAACATGCTTTTTTGACAGATCCCAGAAAATGGAAACTAGCATACCAGTTCTAAAATTGTTTGAAGTTGAACACAAAAGATTGGACCCCAGAGATCTGTCCTCCTTAATTTGTTAACACGAGGATTTCAGTAAGGAAATCTGTTTTCTGGCATCTATCAGAAGAAGAACTTTTAGAGGCTCTTCAAATGATTGCCAGAGTTTGAATAATTTGGTGGTCTGCCACAAGCAATCCATTTCCTTGGGCAGGTCACCTTTGTAAATGCAGCATGTGCCAAATAGAAAGCACACTTCCGTTCCTGAGGCATTCTCATTATTCTTGGTCTCTTGAAGAAAGGTCAGGCAAAATGATAAATTATATATCTATGTATAGAAAATGACATGCTCTTATGTAGATGCATTATTCTATCTAGTTGAGTAATAGACCCTTTATATTAATATTGAAGTATATTTTAACTTACCAAATGAATTTTCAAGACTTGTTGAAATCTTGACCTCTTGGCAGAAATTGTTAAATAATGGGAGTATGTCCCTCAAACAATGTGGTTTCTTCTTCATGTAGTGAAATATAAGAGATCATAGTAGTACTTAAGAATAAATGAGTCAGACATGGTCTGCCTTATCAAAGACATTCCTCATATGTGAAACTTAATTTCTATTGTCTTTTATTATGGTTATTTTATTCTGATACTGCTTTCTTACTATTTTCGGTGTTAAGATGCTGTTTTTTAAAAAGGAGATTATGATGCTAATAGATAGTGTTAAGTTTGGTCTTGCAGTCCTTACATGGTAAAATAAAATGTTTGTACCATTATAAAATTCCCCTACATTGTTTTGAAATCTTACTGCTTTATGAAATCCGAGTCTGAGAACCACAAGAAATTCCTAAAGTTATTGAGGAGTACATTTAAGTGATCTTTTAAGACCTACCAAGTCAGGAAAATATATTTAATCTCCTTTAGGAAGATTAACCTAATAAATAGGTGGACCTCTCAGTTTGCCCAGCATCTGCTGGGCCTCCATAGGGACGTTTCTAGCCCCAGAGTCCCAAACCCATATTATTATTATAAATCCTTAGGCTACTTAGAAATAGTAGAAATATCTTATATGCCCAAATGCTAAATACCTGTGACACATGGTCTCATTTGATCTTCCAAATACTCTTTGAGATCGGTGGGCAGGTGTTATCATCATCATCATCATCATCATGACTTTATGGAGGTAATTGAGGCATAAAGAAGTTAGGAATTGAGCAAGATCACTTAGCTGGTAGTGGGTAAGGCTACCACCAGGCTTATTCATTGAGCAGTATTTATTAAACCCTGTTCTGTGCCAGGCACTGTGTTGAGCATTGTCATGGATTGAATTATGTCCCCCCAAAAATGTGTGTATCAGTTTGACTGGGCCATGATTCCTGGTATTGTGATTTGCCCGTATGTTGCAAATCCTGCCTCTATGATGTTAATGAGAGAGAATGGGTGGCAGTTGTGTTAGTAAGGCAGGACTCAATCTACAAGATTGGATTGTGTCCTGAGGCAATCTCTTGAGATATAAAAGAGAGAAGTGAGCAGAGAGACGGGGACCTCATACCAACAAGAAAGCAGAGCTGGGAGCAGATCGTGACCTTTGGACCCAGGGTCCCTGCGCGGAGAAGCTCCTAGTCTAGGGGAACACTGATGAGAAGGCCAGTAAGAGAGAGAAAGCCTTCCCCTAGAGTTGACACCCTGAATTTGGACTTTTAGCCTACTTCACTGTGAAGAAATAAGTTTCTCTCTGTTAAAGCCATCCACTTGTGGTATTTCTGTTACAGCAGCACTAGATGACTAAGACAAGCATGGATTTTTGATTCTAGATCTGGCATTCCTTCCACTCTGCTTGAGACTACCTGATAGCTATGCATTTGTTTTTCTTTTCTTACAATACCTCTTTAATTATTAAAAAATATTTTTATCTTTTTTTTTTTAAATAATAAAAACAATCAGAATGTTTCTTTAGGAGATAAATGTTATGCTGCTTGAATATGAACAATCCAGTGGCTTGAAAATAGCAGACTATCTTCCAATTTGTGCTTAATTTAATAAAACTCATTATGGTACAAATCTAATAAAAAATTCTGTTTAAATAATAGATGATCCCCATTAGATGGAAAATTACTTTGAGCCAGTTTATCATCAGCAGTCTATTTTAGTATTTAAGAATCTTATGTAAAACACTAAAGCTACAACGTAATATTTTGTGCCTTGAATAAGAAGACTTAGTAGTCCTTTTAATTCTTGTTGATTTGTGTTGCTTAAGAATAAATAATTGTCCAGTTCTCTCGGGCAGAAAAACGTGCCCTGAGTACGCCCCTGTTTTTGATAGCTTGTAGTCTAGGAAGTTGGCCGGCCCATATTTTTGATAGTCTTTTCCCTTTAATATCTACAGCTGACCCCTGAGTTCTCGCAACGCTTGAACAATAAGATTCGGGAGCTTCTTCAGCAAATGGAGAGAGGCCTAAAGTCAGCAGATCCTCGGGATGGCACTTGTTACACTGGCTGGTCAGGTATGAAGCACTGGCCATGAGCTGAGATAAAGCGTGTATATGGGACCAGAGCATTGCCTTTTGACAGCTGTCCAGCCAAATGGTACACCCTTAAATGCTCTGGCATCTGCATAGGAGTAACTGCTTCTGGAAGAGTGCTGTGCTCTCTACCTAGCCTTGGTATCTTTTGGATTTTTAACAGTGCCCTGAATTTAGGGCATGGCAAGCATATTCATGGAGTTCATGCCTGCCATAAATTTGAATTGTTGCTGTATTGTGAGGAGAAAAAAATGATGTTCAGCAATTACAAAGGTAATTTGGAGATGCAATTCCAGTGGGAAGAGTCCCAAAATGCAGTGCGTGACACAGAGGTAAAGAGGATTTATCCACAGAAGAAAACATGTCCAGAAGAATCTTTTTGTTTTTTAAGTTACCACATAACTTTTAAACAAGGGTGAAGAAAGCCCAGTTTAAAGACGTAGTGTTTCCCACTTACTTTGAAGAGTAGGAAAGGAGGAACGAGTTTGTGGCTTAACGTATTTGAATTTGAATGTAAGTCAGTGGTGTTTGTCATAAAAATGCAAGTAGGTTCCTGGGCCTGTTGCAGGTGGCAATCTATGGAGGACCCAACTGAGATATTGTTACATGAGAAATGTACAGTAGCAATCTCGTGGCCGTCCTCTATTTTAATGGCAGGTGATTCTGCGTTGCCTTTTGAGGATGGGAAGAGCAGATAAAATCAGAGTAAAATAATAATCTCAAGGATGTTGAAGGCAAGTATTTTTTAAAACAAGAAGAATGGACTAGATAATGTGTGGTCATCCTTCTTGTACCGTGAAACCTGCGAAAGCCGGAACCTGTGTAAGACGGAAACCTGTCAGAGACGGAAAACTCAAATATTTTCCACTAAAACAAGTGATAGAGAAGTGGTAAGACTGCAGCATGCCAAAGGCGGAAAACTTGCAAGACCAGGGTAAACAAGGCAGTCCCATCAAGTTCCAGCTCTCACAGGTTTTACTGTAGTTTAATTTTATGATGTTTGTGGATTTTAGAAATTTAGCACAAGAAATATTAAGATGAAAATAAACTGAAAGTATTTTGCTTTAAGCGGGAAGTTACAACAACTCATTTATTGAGCATCTGCTGTGTTCCAGGTATGGTGTTACTGGTAGATTAACCTCATTAATGAAAATTACTATTTATTTAAAAGTATGAGGATTTGAATAAAGCAAGACAAGTGCATGATTGTCTTTAGCTTTCCTCTTGATCGCCACATTGTAATAATACATGAGGCCTAGACTTTTAGATCTCTTCCTAATATATTTGGAGTTTCTATTATTTTGTTATTCTTGGCAAAAAAAGGAGACTGAGGCAGATGGCTAGACTTGATTTCAGGACTGATTCCAAGCAGAATGACTTAACCTCAAATCACCTGTTGAGATGAGCTTGTATTCCTATATATTATAAGATACCTTGCTTTAGGAGGAGAAGAAATGAGGTTTATTTTGAGTTAGTAGTTTGACCATGTTAGGAAAAGCTTTTAGGCCGCTATATTCCTAAAGCTAGTTGAGAAACTAAAACTTAAAAACTTTCCTTGGAAATATAAAAGAAATTTCACTCCAAACTAAAATGCAGTTTTGATTGTCTTGCTTTTTTGGCAGCATGAGGCTTCTGGCATTTTCTCCTTCGAATGCCAATGTTCTTCAGCCTTTCATCCATAAGTATCCATGGTACTCATTGCTGGCTCCTGAAAGCAGTTTGTATGGCAACTGTCTGAGGCAAATTGGCATTCTAAGCAGTTTAGGGTTTCTTCAGTTGCTGCTTGTTTTATGATATAACATAAAGTCTTCTAGATAAATTTGCTAATGGCTTTTGAGGCAAGGTTGCTAATGTCTCCTAATTGAACACTGTTAAAAAGCCATTATTCCCACATGAAATGGACTGTCTCCTCCAGTGTCTGGATAAGGAAGATGCTCCCTGCGCCAGTGTTCAGACAGTCTGAATAGCAGGAAACTGAGTTGCATAAGAATCTAAAGCTGATTCCACCACAGAAATTCATAATGTTAATATGTTTTCCTCCCATTATCTCACATATTACCAAGTGTCATCTATTTTTAACTACAACTTTATCACAAAAAAATGTATTGACAAACATGTTAACACAAAATACTTGTTATTGTGTGCCAAAGCAGCATTTATGTAATTAAGTGAACATTTGTATGTTAACTTGGTATGTGTCCCATGTTATCTTTCAAAAAATGATGCCTTTTAGGAGATAGGGATTATATTTGTTTTACCTTGTTCAGCAACAAATTCAGGGCCATGTTTTTTATAAATATTAATTTATTGTTTGCACTTGTTGCTGACTTACTCAAAATCACATTACTTTGGTGGTGTTGTGGCTCCTGACTCATGGCAACTCCTTGCATAATGGAACAAAACGCTGCCTAGCCCTGCACCATCCTGATGCTCAGTTGTAGATCAGACATCTGTGATCCATAGGGTTTTCACTGGCTGAATTTCAGAAGTAGATCGTCAGGCCTTTCTTCCTGGTCTGTCTTAGTCTGGAAGCTCTGCTGAAATCTGTTCAGCATCATAGCAACATGCAAGCTTCCACTGACAGACAGGTGGTAACTGCACATAAGTTGCATCGGCTGGGACTTAAACCAGGGTCTGCCATGTAGAAGGTGAGAAGTCTACTGTTGAACCACTGCCTCATAGGTCAGCTAAATGCAACAAGGATCCAAACAGCCTAGGCAAGAAATTTCCCTCAGCCCCTGCTAGCCAAGGAAATTTCCTTCATGAGAAGGAACTGAAATTAATATAAGAGCAACAGTAAATGTGGGATTTCTATTAACATAATTGTATTATGTCATTGGTTAGTAATGTTGGCTTAGTTCAGTAAGAATTACTGAACAGTCATTGTCGATTCTTTTGTGGTCTTTTAAATCCAGACTAAATTCCTTCAGATACTTTTTTTTTCAATATTAAAATAATTTTTAAGGAACTCCCCACCACCACCAGACGGTGGTGGCTGGACACCCTGCTAACTTAGAACTGAAGCCAGCCCCGAAGTCTGCCTTTCAGCCAGAGATTAGACAGACCTATAAAACAAACAATAACACACGTGAGGAAGGTGCTTCAAGACCAAATGGGCAACACCTGCCCAAAAGCAAAGAAGGCAGGAAGGGGCAGGAAAACTGGACAAATGGACACGGAGAATCCAGGGTGTAAAGGGAAAGGGGGAAAGTGCGGACGCAACACAGGGATTGCAACCAATGTCAAAAAAAAATTTATGTATAAATTTTTGAATGAGAAACTAATTTGCTCTATAAACTTTCACCTAAAGCACAATAAAATTAAAAAATATATATATTTTTAAAAAAACAAAATTACATTACTTTGGTAAACAATAATTCACTGTAGAAAACCTTTTAAACTTTCCTTCTTCAGCATTGGTATTTATTGAACATTTATTGTCAGTGTACCATGAAAGCTTTTGCAAATTATCATCATTATTACTCATTACATAGTTTGTATGAGAATACTGCATGATGTTACAATTAGTTAGAACTTTAAATTACTAGCTTATTTTGTTAAATTTCATTTCCCAGTAGAAGTATGGTCTGATAGTTAATGCCGTTCAGTTAGGAATAGGATTAGGTTCAGCTGATGTAACTTCTCCCCACCTCAAAAAATAAGTAACAGTGGCTTAAATAAGACAGTTTATTTTTCTCTCAGGCAGAAGAAGGTCAGCAGGAGGCAGTCCAGGGCTGATATGGTGACCTCAGCATGTCAGCAGGAAGCCAGGCTCCTCTTTCTGCCACATCATCCCTAGCTGCTAGCTTCCAGCTCTTTGTCAAATAGGCCACTGAAGATCCAGTCATTACATCGCATTTCAAACAGCAGGAAGGAAGAAGCAAAGGATGCATTTCCTCCCTTTAAAGATTTCTGGAAGTCCCACTCAGCATTTCGCTTCTGCTTGCTTTTCACTGGCCAGAGCTTAGTAACATGGTCACACAAGTTAGCAAGAAATGATGGTGATTGTAGTCTATTGGTGTTCTGTTACTAAGGGAAAGGGGAGAGTGCATTTTGGGATGTTGCTTGTAGGTGCTGTCAAGTTGGTTCTGACTCATAGCGACCCTGTGTACAACAGAATGAAACACTGCCCGGTCCTGTGCCATCCTCATAATCGTTACTGTGTTTGAGCCCATCATTGCAGCCACTGTGTCAGTCCATCTTCTTGAAGGTCTTCCTCTTTGCCAAGCAGGATGTCCTTCTCCAGGGACTGGTCCTTCCTGATAACGTGTCCAAAGTACGTGAGATGAAGTCTTGCTATCCTCACTTCTGAGGAGCATTCTGGCTGTACTTCTTCCACAACAGATTTGTTCATTCTTCTGGCAGTCCATTTTGGGATAGGTTCTACCAAGCTCTGCTAAAAGTCCTATATGACAGGAAAAATGATCCTCGTTTTTATTCCTACATTTTGCACAAGGCATTTGGACAGTGAACTTTGGTTTTTCCATCTTCAAAAAGATCTTTAACTTCTGTCCACTTTGGGTGGATTTTTATAAGGATTAATTTACCAATGGCTATAAAATATTTTGAAATTTGGTAAGCAGTGTTTTAACAGGCTCTTTGTTTCCAGGGAGACTCATATTTAGATTTTGATTCAAAACACCTTTATTCTCGTTTTTTAATATTTTTTTTCATTTCAGTAATTAATAATCTTCTGAAAGGTTGCCATAGAAAGGAAGTATTATAGGAGTGCCAAAATCATAAATAAATTTTCTAGTTCTAACTGTAACTTAAACCTAGGAAGGGACTACAATTGACTAAACTTGCTACTGGGAAACTTTATTTTCTCAGCTTGATTAAACAGTTCTCCACCTCCCCTTTCTGCTCCAAACTCTGTCTCAAACTCTTGTTTGCTTATCACAGGATTATAAAGTCCTTTATTTGCTTGTAGCATGTATCAATCCTACTCAACCCCATAGTCAGCTGTCTATGTTTCTACTTCATGACTGTAAAGAAAGCA